CATTATCTTGACTTCTAAGAAGCACTCTGGCTAAACTTCTTCCAACACAGACTGGTTTGTTCTTCTGACAGTTCGTAGTATTTTCAATATTCTCCTCCAACACCATAACTCAAATGCATCAACTCTTCTATGGTCTTCCTTATTCATTGCCCAACTTTCACATGTATATGTGGTGATTGGCTTGGGTCGGGTATACCTTGAGAATAAAAAAACTAAGTATAAATCTAACTAGGGATATAAAAGACTCATAAAAGGCAAACAACAAAATACATGTCTGATACTAAAAAGAAAAAATGTGAACATCCTAACATTTTAAAACGCCAAATATCTCCTTTCTAGAAAAATATTTAGTTTTTGTTTCTATTATATAATATTAAATTTAATTTTAGAGAAGTGTGTTGGGGTATATATTCATTGCATTTCTGCAATGTTTACTATTTTAAAACAAAGATTAAAGATCTCCTGGCAAGTTGGCAGACTAAGCAGATGCATTACTTGGACATACACAACAAAGATTGTTGTTGTTGTTAAGTGTTGTCGAGATGATTCCAACCCTTAGTGACCCTATATAAGGTTTCCAGAGAGCAGCTGATGAGCTTGAACCACCAACCTTGCGGTTCAAATGAATTTGCAGTCCAAGACATTAACCAACAGCACAACAAAGACAGGAAAGACTAAATCAAACACAGATGAAAATTTGGTAACCCTGAATGTCAGAGAAAGGGTTAAAGAAGTGAATTGAGAGCTTGGAGGGAGAAGCTGAGCAGGAAGGGTGAGAGCAGCGGGAGAGTGACTGGTGAAGGGCCAGCCAGATTTAAGGTTACCACTGGCAACTGAAGGTGGCCTTGCAGAGCAGATTCACACAGGTGGCAGCAAAGATGGGATTCTTTTTTCCAATGCTCCCCTGGTGATCAGAGGGGTGGCTAGCTCCCACCCTCATCTATTCCCAGTACAGACCCTACTCTCTGGTTGTTCAGAGTCATGTGGTTGGGAGTCATGCCAGCCTGTGGGGGGGGCAGGGGAGGCAGCTGCACAGCTTTGGTGCATTGCTTTGGTACCTGGATTCTGGTGAGCTCAGCTGCACACCTACAGAACTCCACCCCCAGCTACCTCATGGTCCTGACAGACACTGAAACCAACTCCATCCAAGAACTACTTTCTGATTGAGTGAACATATATAACACCTAGGCTGATAGGAACTCCATCTAGTGTCAGGAACTCTACTGCCACATCCCTCCCACACCCACCCCGTGAGCTCCTGACTTGCAGCTCTGTAGAAATTTTCACCTCTCTGGGTCCAATAGCTCCACTGGTTTTGCTTTGTTTGGAGGTCTGGTTTTTTGGGTTTTGTTTATTTCATTGCTTGTTTATTCTTTCCCCTCCTCCTACTTCTCTTTCATCACTTGAATTTTATCCTATCTCTGTATTTGTTTTTCCCTTTCTTCTGTTTCTCATTTTCCCTCTTCTTTTTTTACTCCTTTTGATATTTCTTTAGTACGCTCTCTCTTTTCATATTCCCTTTCCCTGGTTTTTTTTAAAGTATTTTTTAAAAATTTATTTCTTCTTTTTATTCTTCTCCTCTATAGCTCAATTTTCCTGTCCCTCTTTTCTCTTTTTAGGTATTCTTAAGTATTTTTAAATTTCTTCCTTTGTTTTCTCTCCTATCGCTCCATTTCCCCATTCCTCTTTTGTCTTCATTACATTCTTTTTTTTCTGATTGCTGCCTGTTTTTCTTTCTTTTTTTTCTCTTCCTTATTGGTTCCTTATTTATTTCTTCTTATGTGTGCGGGGAGGGATTTTCTCCCCATCCCATCACCAACAGGAGACAGCAACTGTGCCCATATAGCCCAGCCACAACCTTATACACTGAAGCTCTACCCACTGGGCAAGAGCCACCAGCTCCTCTATCACCTGATCAAGAATGGACAGCAGCTAACACCCTAAGCTGGGATGCATGAATGGCAAACAAGTATAGTACACACATTTCTATTCTGTCGCTACAGTCACAGGAGACAGTTGGTAAGAGCCTAAGAACAAATCAACATACAATCATCAATTAAACACAAATACAACAGTCCCACAATGCCCAGAAACAACAATTTTAACTCACATGAAGAAACGAGAGATGGCTCAAACAATCAACCAAGTTGCAGAGCCTGAATATGTTTCTGAGGAAGGAAAGGTAATGGAACTAACTGAAAAAGAATTCAAAAGAATGATACTTAAGTATCTTCAAAGGACTGACAGAAAGATAGAGAAAAGCACAGAGAACACAGAAAAAAACTTTAGAAGAATTCAGCAAAGCACTACAAGAACAGACAGACAAAATAAATGAAAATTTTGAAATACAAAACCTGCAGTCAGCAGAGAAAAGCTTCTTCTTTTCCATCTGGCGGCAGCCATCAGAGTAAGCCGAGATGTGTGCTTACAAGTACATCCAGGAACTATGGAGGAAGAATCAGTCTGATGTGATGCGATTTCTTCTGCCACGTCCGCTGTTGACAGTTCTGCCAGCTCTCTGCACTGCACAAGGTCCCCCGTCCCATCTGGCCAGATAAGGCGCTCAGACTGGGATACAAGGCCAAGCAAGGTTATGTCATGTATCAGATTCACGTGCACAGAGGTGGCCGCAAACTTCCAGTGCCTAATGGTGCAACTTATGGCAAGCCTGTTCATCATGGTGTTAACCAGCTGAAATTCGCTAGAAGCCTTCAGTCTGTGGCTGAAGAGCGAGCTGGATGCCACTGTGGAGCCCCAAGAGTCCTGAATTCTTACTGGTTGGTGAAGATTCCACATACAAATTTTTTGAAGTTATCCTCATTGATCCATTCCATAAAGTTATCAGAAGAAATCCTGACACCCAGTGGATCACCAAGCTAGTTCACAAGTAGCACAGGGAGATGCATGGTTTGACATCTGCAGGCTGCAAAAGCCGTGGCCTGGGGAAGGGCCACAAGTTCCACCACACTATTGGTGGTTCTCACCAGGCTGCTTGGAAAAGACACAACACTCTCCAGCTCCACCATTACCATTAATATAAGTAATGTTGTAAAATTCATGACTAATGAAACAGTTTAGGACAGTCATGCCTACTGAAGTGTTCTTTGTCTGTTAAAACAGTAGTTGTCTGCAGTTTGCGTCATGAATGCATTGTCAAATTATGAAAGTAAAAGTGCAATATTTGAAGACAGTAAGTGAATAGTGTATCTTGTTTCCAATGAGGTCAATGCTTTTGTTTTTGCTTTAAGACTCTTACTAGGTAGTTAAATGTCAATGTTTAAAAATGGCATACTGTGTGATATAATGGGTATAAAATAAATTCTTTAAATGGAGTATTGAAATTAGCTCTTTCCGTACACTTTAGTGCCTGTGCTAAAACCTACAGTTTTATTGGGGTGATGCAATGCTCTGATAGCCTCAAATGGTTGGAGTTTTTGTTTCCCTGGTTTTTAGAGTTTAACAAAGGTAAATTCAGACCAACTTTCTTAAATAAGATGGATTTTGCTTGGACATTTGTAAGATGGGAGGAGACTATCCTAATCTTCTGTCATGATCGTTTTGCAGCAAAATAATGGAGTCAATTAGAGCCTGCATTTTTATATTACATCATTTCATGTAACTGCAGGTTTTGAAAAGGAAAAGTTTTAAGTGCCACCATTTTTAGAAGAAACACTGCAAGAGAACTTTCAAATGAAACAAGTCTGAGTTATCAACCTACACAGCGTTGCCTTTGTCTCTATGGTATCATCAAAGGTGAAAGCTTGTTCAATCTCCACTTCTGGGATATGTAGAAGCCTAGATTTGATAAAACGTCTGCAATGATATTTACACTGGGGGTCCTGGTGAGGTGCTGTGGGTTAATGTGCTTACACTTCTAATTTTCAAATATTCTATTAGCACAAAATACTTAGGTCTGCCAGAATCTGAGAAAAAAGCAGCTACTGTTTCCACGAGATGACCAACACAATGGTCAGTCCGAGGGTGTAGGGTGATAAATAGTTCCTTTCACAAAAACTAAAAATGGAAAAAAAAGTTAACAATTAAACAGATTTGAAAATTCCTTAGTATATTGCAAAGCAGTGTTACTTCGTTTTATTTCTTTTAAAAATCAAATCTGCTATGTTACAATATACATACAATGAAATACATCCATATTGAAAATACCCTGGCATACAATCAGGTGACCTTGACTGAGCGCTGAGTGGAGATGGGGGGCTGTCTACAGGACACTGGGACAAGAGTTTACCACTTTCCGTCTTCACAGGAAAAGGCACTGCCTTCTCACCAAGGCCTACATACCTGCATCCTACGTCACACCTTATGAGACCAAGTCCCTGGAGCTAGGACTCCTCAGTACACAGGCAAAGTCGAGAGAACCAGGAGGACCCAAAGCTGTGAATTAGGTGGGGAGCCTGCTTTGTTTCCGTGCCTGTCAGTCAGCAAGTACAGACTGTGGACCTGGGCTCCATTATCTACAACCTGCACTATAGCTTTGAATACACTTCCAAACCTCTCTAAGCCTGTTTTCTCACTGGACTTAAAATACCCATGCAGGATGAAGGTGAGTATGAAGTGAGACAATCTACATGTAGCTACGATGCGGGAACTCACTTTACACCAGTTGTGATAATTGGGCTGTCTCCTGGCTTGCACATTCATAATACTCTGGCTCCAAAAGGCAGAACAACCAAAAATGGGCAGTTGGGGCGTATTTATATGGGAGGCTCCAAAGGACCCATTTCACTGACACTCACCATCCAGCTCTCACTCTGCAGAAGCAGGGTCACAGATTCTTCATCGTGTTTTCTGAACAGGATCCAGGGAAGCAAAGGTACATGATCATAGCACCACCTGACCATCACTGGGTTCTACGGGTGCGCCAGTCAACCTTAAATACTATTACAAAGGCCTAAAGCTCCATTCCTGCTAGGTTGCGTCCTTTCATAAAACAAACAAACAAACAAAAATAGTCCAAGGTAGCTGTCACTGCCCTTAATAAGTCACAGAACAGCAGGAGACATTCCTCTGGCAAAAAAGGACACAGTCTTATCCTGTATCTTGTATTGGTAAGTGAGGCTCCGCTCTCGTTGGGTTGTGGGCTGCAACAGTTTCCTCCACAGGATTGTCAGCTATGGAGACAGGAAGAAAAATTAAAAGGTACAACCACCTCAAGTATATGCTCTACTGGGAACCCTCCTCGAAACCCTCCATGACCTCAACTGAGGCTTCAATGAGATGCACGGTCAGATGTGCGATGAAGTACAAGGACTAGCTTTTTAAAAATAGATTATTACTAGCTGCCTAAAAAGAAAGGTTTCCCTCCTTTACAATAATTGTACTTGCTCGTTATAGGAAATGTGAAGGAAAAGGAAAAAGAAAAAAAATTCCATAGAAAAAGCACTTGATGCATTTTTACGTACGTCCCTTTAGTCTCTTCTCTCTGCAGTTTTGCAGAAAGCACTGAGACATGTATTTATTTGGATGATGCTTTCACAGACTAAAACGCTCTTGGAACTGGCTTGAGAGACAGGCCGGAGCACCCAGCAGGACCATCTCTTCACACTGCTCCCACAGGCACTACTGACATAGTAGTCCTGGGCTTGCTCAATTGCTTCAGCTACCAAACCAGCTTGAGAATGAGCCTGAGCTGAAACTCCCACCCACGCTTACTGGGTCAAATGTAGCAAACATGAACTTAACCTGGAAGCTGTGAGGAAGACTTTAGGGATTCCCCAAGAGAAGCAACAGAAAGCCCAGAACCACAGCAACCCTCAGAAGGGTGGGATTCTCGCTCCCTCTCAGGGCAGGATTCTTGGCTTCTGCCTGAGTTCTCTGAACTTTCTGGGTAGAGGCAACATTGAAGACAGCAGCAACTAATCCCTGGGCGTGGGCTCCCCAAGTCTCTATTTTAAAAGGAACAGTACTCCCTGATTATAAAGAGCTTGCTACAGCACTGCAGAGGAAGCTGACCATTATCTGACAGCATGGCCCTACTGTGGACAGCTGCGTCTTCTTCAGGAGAATGCCACTTGGGTCAGGAATGGAAATGCCTTGGAAAAACTGCACTAGTCTGTGTGGTGAGCACCACCCAGGGCAGGCACACAACAGCTTCTCCCACACCTGAAAGAACACCTCGACACTCTCACAAGCAGACTCATGGGCACTGAGGCAAGTGGCTCATTGTCCAGCAAGTCCCTGGCCCCAGCCCCTGTGTACCTGCCCATGCACATCCCGGCAGAAGCCAGTGGCCAGGCCCTCAGCCCGCAGGATCAGGTGGCTCTGGTGACTGACACCATTCAGGAGGATGTCATTGTCTTCATCCTCGGAGTCTCCGCTGTCATGCACAAGGACCACCATATTTCCCTGCATCAGAAATACATGATGAAAACCTGCTCCTGACTGAAGAGACACCTAGAACCATGTAGTGGTAGTCTCTCTGTTTCTCTACTCCCCTGCACGTCCTCTTAACAGACCACCCTCCCTGCTGCTGTTGCAACAGTCCCTTATGTGGGAAGGACCCTGCCTGGGCTCCATGGCCCTAATTCTAGTTATCCACTGCAGCTTCCTCAGCAGGTCCAAGACCTGCTTCCAGCTCAATTCATCTGAAACCTATGTCTTCATCCTGTGCTCTTCAAAAGCAGAGCTCTCTCTTCTAAATTCATTAATATTATTAAAAAGGATCACCATTTTGCCAAGCACCAATTCACCCAGTCAACAGTTCCTAAACACTCTGTGCACCAGAAATTGCAGAGGGGAAAATAGGCAAGAGACTGGGCCCTAGAGACAGACAGCTATTCACAGAACAGTAGGGCAGTGCCAGGAGAGTATGGAAGTTGGAGTAACACAGAGTCTGCAGAAGGGGCTCAGGAGGTAGAGACATCTAGGCTGAGTTTTGAAGGGTAAGAAGTAGATGTTAAGAAGACATGGAGGTGTGGCTTATACCTGCTGAAAGGGGACAATTTAAATAATAACAAGTCCTTTCAAAGGAGTACTGTCCAGGTGTTAAAAGAGATGAAGCAGATCCACGTGCCCCGTTTTCAGGCAGTGGATGCCAAAGTAAGCTTTGTATTGTTAGATGAGAAAGTGAAGTACCGATGCGGATGGCCAGCTACCAGTATGGCGAGGCAAAAAGCAGGGAGATGACTATACAGACAAGTATGTTTGTAACTGCAAACTCTCTGGAAGGATAAACACTGGAAGAGGGAGACAATTACTTTCTGCTAAAGTACTCTTTTTTTAAAAAAATTGTTTTGTTGCAAAACACACACCCTTTCAAGAGTTCCAATACATGTAACTCAGTGACACTAGTTACATTCTCTGCATTGTGTGACCATTCTCACTCACCCTCCTTTTCTGAGTTGTCCCTGCCCCATGAATGTAAACTCACTGCCCACCAAGGTTCCAACTAATCTTTGCAGTTACAGTTGTTGCTTTGATCCCATAGGTGTAGTTCTAAAAAGGATATAATGCACAAACAGATATTTTTTGCTAGTTTACCTAAACCGTTGTTTGGTTTTAAGAAGACTCTTCAGGAGATATTTTTGATTTAAGTTTTAAAGATTGTTTCAGGGTCACACTTTCAGGGCTTCATCTATGCCCCCATGGCTGCAGAAAGTCTAGAGTCCATGAGAATTTAAAATTCTGTTCTACATTTTCCCCCTTTAGATGAGGATTCTTCTACAGAATTAAAGTACCCTTTATATTGTTTTTCTTTCTTACTTGCTTGTTTGTTTGTTTTTTAAAAAATAATGTCCTAGGTTTTACCACTTCAACTAAAAAGTAAATATGTAATTGTACTGAAAGAGTGAGTGGCAGCAGACCATAAAACAAGCTAAGCCATGGGAGATAATGCCAACAACTTTACTCTCACCCCAAACCCTGTTGCCAACTTTGCCCACCAAACCCCTCATGTTTCCTCCTCCTTCCATTCCGCCCACATGACCCTGGTCCTGCCCTGAGTTTAAGCCAGGGCAGCCTCAGAAGGCCACCAAGCCACAGCTCTCATGAATAGCTTTGCACCAAGAAGGTTCTCAATACACAGTCCTAGATACATCCAACCAACTGGCTCACTGTGCACACCTTGTCCACTGCTCTGTGTGGCTGAAAACACCATGACGTATCTGCAGTTGCTACCAGCTGCACCAACACATACCTATGAGCAGTTTCTGAGGGCCAAGCCATGTGCTGGTGGTTACCAGCTTCACCTCAGGTCATTCGTACGATCAGATTCCTGAGAGGCAGGCATCACTAACATTCCGAGTTTACTGGTTGGTCTATTCTTCCTGATAATATCTCTATCATGGCAAAATCTGCATTTCTGCCTCATAATAAAGGTCATATCCTACCTACCCTGTACAGCACCTTAAAAGTTTAAAGACATCTACACCCATTATCTCCACTGATCCTCAAAATAACATTGACCAATGAACAAGGACAAAGACATAGATAGCTAGAGCTGAGAGTGAAACATCCAGCTGATATGAAGTGCGGGGAGATGCACAAGAACACCCAAACTTGCAGAGTACTCATTTAACCTAGTTTCGACGGCATGATAATCAGAACTTGACTAGAGGAAGATAAAATTTTAAAAACCCCACTATTTTTGATAAAGGAAACAAGTGTAAATTGCCACAATTTGAGGAACTTGACCTATACATATGGATGTGCTGTTGTTGTTGTTGTGTGCTGTGGAGTCGGTTCTGACTCACAGTGACCCTGTATAGGGTTTCCGAGACTGTAAATCTTTATGGGAGCAGAAAGCCTCATCTTTCTCCTGTGGAAAAGCTGGTAGTTTCAAACTGCTGACCCTGAGGTTCGCAGCCTGATTCATAACCACTACGCTACCAGAGCTCCTTATACATATGGATGTAGTAACTCAAAATACCAACTGAGAGGGAAGGAGTCTTCACACCAGGTACCAATCCTATCTCTTCTGTATACCAGGTAGATAGGGATGGACAACTTACACATTGGCTACCTAAAATGAGGGGGTGATAAAGGCACAAAGTGATTGGCTTACAAGTTTTCAAGGGGAAGTTTAGTTACCAATTGCGACTGTCACAACTGTAAAGGTAGAAGTTTTGTAACATAAAGTAGAGAGTAGTTAATTTTACAGTTCAGGAACAGAGAACCCTAGGATCATCAAGGGAGAAGAGCATGAGCAGAATGTGGGACCCTATCCAGAGAAGTAATGACACCTGAGATGGAGGCAGAGATGAGGACATGGAGAGATAGAACACCTGAGGACTCGAGAAAGGCTGTCTGCTGGTGGCCAGGAGGCAGGCTTGCAGAATGTGCCCTTTGGTTGTTTAAATTATTATATATTCCTGAGTGTTTTTGTGTACATCCTCTTACCTCCCCCCCAAAAAAACAAAGAGGGAATGGAAGCAAACACTGTTGAATGATGATGCATGGAGGAGATTGTAATCACTGCAATAAAATGAAAAGTGTAAAGCTGATGTTTTCCCATGTAAACACTCAGTTTACAATAAAAACTTAAAAAATAAATAAATAAATACACTGAGTCAATAATAACTTGCCCAAGGCATAACAGGCAACATGTGGTGGGGGTGCAAGGCAGCAGCTCTACACAGGACCAGTCCCATTAAGACAGTGCTGGTCATCCCTTCAATTTTTTTTTTTTTAAGTGTTTTATTGTGAATTATATGATAGTTTACATGGGAGAACATTAGTTTTACATTCATTCTATCGTATATCGTATCACTGCCATGGTTACAATCCCCTCCATGTATCATCAACCAACCAAAGGGTATACCCTGCAAGCCTGCCCCTACACTATCTCCACCCCCAACCCCCTCCCAGTCTTTAGCACACAGTCGCTCTCCCTCTCTGCTCCATCGCTCCAAAGCCCCCAGCTCCATCGCTCCAAAGCCCCCAGCTGCTCCATCGCTCCACATCATTGTCGCTGCCTCCATCTCAGGCATCACTGTTTCTCTGGGTAGGGTCCTGCTCTCGGCTCTTCTCCGTTGATGGTCCTAG